TTTTCATGAAGAGAGAAAAGAAAACAGAGCGAGCGCACATTTAAAAGAGAGAAAAAGCTCGCAGGCTTTAGAGGGCTGACAGGGAATTGCAGCTCATGAATCATCATTGCCCGTTGGACGTCTGGCTGAGTTGCCCAGCCTGCCCTTTGTATGGCCCTGACACACTGCGCTGCGTAGAGCGCTAAGACCTTTGGCCTGATCATAAAAGGCCTGTTAAGGGGGTTGGCGGCCGGCCACCATGTTAATGAAGCGACCCGCTAGCTGCTGTCGAGGATGGCAAAAATCCCCCTCATAACTGCAGCCTCAGTGCGCCTTTGTACAGCTGAAACATAGGTGGCAGTTGTTGCCTACACTGAGCGTGGGCCACACTGTACTATTGTCATTGTGTTTATGTGTAAATTATGCGAACGCTTATTCCTGTGTTTGTCTCTGTTGTTGGGTTGTATGTGTCAAAGTACCACACATCTTTGTGTCTTGCGTATATATGTTAGTACTCTGGGGGTGTATTTCTACCACTTACCAGCATACTGTGTACATATGGCCTTGTGTGTCCCCTTGAATCCGTGAACATGCCATGCAGCGGATTGTGTAGGTGGCGTCACACTGCGGTCAGTATGTCGTGCAGCCTGATCCCAGGGTTGTGCGGGGGTCGGGTAATAACCACACAATGATGTTCTTTATGGGTCATAATGCTGATAAGCTCCATCCTCTGAGCCCTCTGCCCCGAGACATTTAGGCTCATTGAATGTTAAGTGTCATCACATCCTTTGTGCTTTGTGCTGACTGTCTGCCATCTTCTCAACAGATTGAGAATGTGGATGCCTGCCTCAGTTTCCTGGATGCCAGAGGAGTGAATGTACAAGGGCTCTCAGCAGAAGGTAGGAATAATACAAAATTTGAGGCCTGATTAAACTTAATTAAGTCAGTGGAGCAGCAGAAGAGAGATGTGGCTGTTGTATTTGTCTAATTTCTAAATCTGGAAAATTAATTTAGGCTTCAACGCGACCCATCCTCTGTGGGTAGGTTTCCATTTCTTCACAGTACCAAATGTTTTCAGAAACCTGGTTTAAGCCTGTTTCCAAGACATGTGAGTGTACTTCACGGTAATGGAATTTACCACACTGGTATCGTGACAGCTTTCACTATGGCAGTGTAGGCAGTCATTAGGGCATCAGAGTGGATTGTGGGAGGATAAAAACTGCAGGGCAGGATTTGCCTCCTGACCATCAGGGCACACAGTACATGCTTTATAAGACACGCCAGTCTTATAAAGCGTTCTACTCTTTATGCCAAAGTGAATGATTGTGTGAAACTGTCTCACAAGGCTAGGGTTAGACACTCCAAACAATATATTAAGAATACATTTTACATTTGATTTGACTCTGCAGGGACACCTTAAATAAAAAAGTATCTGTATGTACAACTGCAGTCCAAATGTCTTCAGTACAGCAAGCAGCACATACAGTGCAGTGCAAACGTATTTGTGCCATTTCTGTTTTCTTTTTTTGGCATATTTGTCACACTTGCATGTTTCAGATAATCAAAAATCATAAATAAACTGTGATTAAGCACATATTTTTTAAAAACTGAATTAAATTTTGCAAGCTACACCAAGGTACGAATAATTCTATTCTATTTAATGTTTATAGCACCGAATCACAACAAGAAATCACCTAAATAGAACCTTTCTGAGAAAGTGAAGTAGGATAAAAGATAAAATAAACAAAAGGCATCATGCTACAATCTAAAGAAACTTAAGAACAGATGAAAAACAAAGTCATTAACATCTGTCAGTCTGGAAATGGGTACAAAGTAATTTCTAAGGTTTTGAGGCTTCAGAGAAACAAAGTGAGGGCCATTTATCCACAAATGAAGAAAACTTTGGACAGTGGTGAGGATATCAGGAGTCACAGGCATCAGTGACTCATCCAGGTCACAAAAGAACCCAGAACAACATCTATAGAACTGCAGGCCCCACAGTCTCTGTGAAGGTCAG